TGGTGGTGGTGCCTATTACATGCATCATTCCATCCTACTGTTGCAGGTATCCTGGGAGACAAAGGCTTCCTCCCCTGGAAGAGGAGGTGAGAGAGGTTCCAAGAGGCAGTGACCTGCCCAAGTTCTCATAGCTAGAAGATGACCAAGGGTGAACCCAAGCTGTCTGCATCCCGCCTTCACACTGGCCAGGGTCTACTGGTAGAAACCCCCACACTTGGTTCTCACAGCACAAAGCTGTGAAGGGGTGGGGATGGCGGCTTCCATCCAAGCCATAAAGTTGGAGGCTCTGGGGACACGGAAAACCTGGGTAGGAACCGGGCGGCTGGAAGGTTGCCAGGGCTCAGCTGGGGCACAGGTGGGAGTTGAAGCAGAGGCAGACCTGTCTTGTGAGCCGACCTAAACATTATAGATGCTGAATGCAGGAGGCAAGCGTAGCCCCACTCTGCTTGAGCCTAGACAGCCTCGGCCTAGGGTCCTAAGCAGGGTTTCCTCAGACCTAAGACAAACAGGAAAAGCTAGGTCTTGCTGTTCCGTACCTGCTCGGTAAACTCCAGGGCTCCAGAGAGCAAGGCCCACCCAGATTCCCACAGCAGGCCAGGCTGCACCAACCGGTCCACCTCTGCTTGTCCGGGCATGCTGACCCCACTGAGTACGGGGATTGGCCATGCATGTTGACTGTGGTCTTAAGTTCTCTAAAAGCAGACTCTGAGATAAAGGCTGGCCCCAGCCCGCCTGTGATTAATCAAAGAGGCAGCAGCCAAGGAGACCTGGGAGGAAACAAAAGAAGCAAGACAGGGAAGCTGAGGAGCCCAGGAAGGGTGTGTCCCCTGGAAAGTGGCTTCAGCCTCTGCCCACAGGAGCGGAGTGTGACTGACACCTCAGAGTTGTCTGGACCTGAGTCCAGGGAGCCCAAGGTGTGTGTCATCCCCTCCCCCACACCGCCAGTCGGGAACCAATCCCATGGAGGCAGAACAAACATTCCCAAGCACTGCTGGGTGTCTGGACAAGTGTTCAAAATGGATCCCAGCAGCCAGGGAACAAAGCCTAAGTAAGGCCTGAAGGCACCGATTCTTCGAGATAAACACCAAAGTCAGAGAGGAGTCATGCGATGGTGTTTGTGCTCTAAGCCCTGGTCTGACTTGCATCCCATGTTCAAACCTTCCCTCAGCAGTCCTGATAAAAGGCTGACGAACGGGGCCCCAGGGTTCTCCCTGGGATGTCTGAGTCTGTGTCAGTCAGGACACACCAGCGGCTGAGAGGTGAGGCCTGTCGGGTCCACGATTCTGAGCTTCCATCCGCGCATCTAATGCTTGAGAACCTGTGCCCTCTGACCCCCACATGTAAATGAATATAAACTGAGGCTTGAAGGAGAAGCCGGATCCCTATTCCACGGTGAACGGATCACAGTCTGTAAGAGCCGGGCTGGGGTGTAACTGGGTTGGTGGAGTGTTTGCCTAGCAAGCTTGAGGCCCTGAATTTCATCCCCTGCACCAGATACAGTGGCACAGCCCTGTGATCCCAGCCAGCCCTGGGAGCTAGGGGCAGGAAGATCATAAGTTCAAGTCCTCCTTGGCTACGCATCACGTTGCAGGCCAGCCTGGGCTAAATGAGACTGTGCCTCAGAAAGAGCTGCAAGGATAACTCAAGCAGAGAGGAGCAAACTCCACCCAGGTTCCGTTTGCGCTGTTGGACACCTGCAACCTAGTCACGGGCTAGACACGCGGCCCTTCTGGGGTGCCAATCACCAGGCTCGTCACGGGGTGACTCAAGGGAGGAGGACTCTTAACAGTAAAATAGGTGAATAATCTTTATAACAGCTTCACTGAAAGCCCAGCAGTGGGTGGCGTACGCCTTTAATCCAAGCACTTGGAAGGCAGAGGCAGGAGGATCCCTGTGAGTTCCACGCCATCCCAGTCTACATAGAAAGCCCCAGGCCAGCTGTGGCTACCTAGAGGGACCCTGTCTCAAAAGACACAGAAACAGAACGCAGCTTCCCTGGGGCAGAGTTCATTCGCTCTGTGATTCTCATCTTAAAGCCTGCAGCACTGTGGATGTCAGTCTGCCCACCGCGCTCTTTCCAGTGTAAAACCTTCCCGTCCTGCCAAACAGAATTCGTTTCCCCACAGATTCTAAACAAATAGCGGGTAGCGATGGGATCCTTCCTCCTTATTCCTCGTACAGAATCTACCAGAGAGCCTCCTGGGAAGCCCGCTCTGACCCACAGCACCTCTGTCTTTCTGACTGCCAGGCTTGAGGAACAACCTTGGACGTGACGCAGAAAGGGAAGGGAAAGGCTGGTGATTCAGTCCTGGGCGCAGGCCTAGGGGATTTCCACAGCCACGCTCAGCCCCTGAGGCAACACTGTGTGGCTTTACTTCCTTCCAGGACACCAAGGAATAATGCCTGGTGTCTCCCTGCTGAGGGTCACATCCCACGGTCTCTTTAGTGGACAGGGCTGCGGAGTTCTGAGTGAGCCAGAGTCCATGTCTCCATCACAGGTGCTGGGGGAGGGCGGGGCTGGAGAGGTGCCAGCCTGATGAGGTCAGGATCCCCCCTGCCTCGCACCCCGAGCTCAGGCCAAAGAGGGCCAGCACGGCAGCTTGTGCTTGCAATCCCAGCCAGGGAGAGGTGGAGACAGACAGGTTCCCAGGGCTCCATGTCCAGCAAGCTTAGCCTACTTGGTGCTCCAGGCCAGGGTGCTCCTGTCTCGGTAAACAAGGTGGACAGTTCCTGAGGAACATCCCTGAAGGTGACCTCTGATCTACACACACGCACAAACGGAAGTGGCAGAGTACATGTGCCCCTCCCCCCCCTCTCTCCATAGATCCCTACCTCTCAGGAAAAGAGAGTCCGAAAGGCATTCTGCATGCTGGAGACCCCTTTAGAAATGAATTGACAGCAGTACTGGGCGATCTTTATTCTTTCAACTGAAGCAGGGAGGCCAGAAAACCTTATCCATGAAACTCAAGGCAATTAAGTCAGTTACGAGTAATCACCCTGTGCATGACTCCGTTGTGGAAGAGTCTTGGCTAGCCTGTGGTCTGACTGAGTCGGTGCATCCAGTAAACACTCCTGTGAGCACCATGTCCCGCGGAGCATAAGAACAAGACATTTTTGGAGCATCGCACCGGCCACATTGGGAGGCTCTGTGAAGACATTATCTCGTGCCTCATCTTCAAATAGACCCCCATCTTTTCCACCCATAAGCAAGAAAAGCCCTCTGCGTGCTCATTAGCAGCCGGGCAAGCCCGGTTCCTCAGACGTGCCTCCCTCCTTCCCTCCCTCCTTCCCTTTCTCCCTCCCTCCCTCCTTCCCTCCCTCCCTCCCTTCCTCCTTCACTTTGCAGGCCCTCTTCCTGGAGGTCTGTCATTGTCACCCTTATTGTAGAGGCTGCCTTATAATCCCACAGCCTGGGACATTGGGGAGAAGTTTTATGATGAGCGGGTGGGCGGTGACGATAGAAGTTTCCACGGAGACCAGTGACTTGTAGAGGGATTAGGGGATAGGCACTTTGCTACTGGGTTTTCCTTTCCTGGCTTCATAGAAGAAGAAGTCATGAAGGTTACTAAGGCCCCGGGGAGGCAGAATCCGCAGCTACGTGGTCCTCACAGGTGGAAATGTTATTGTGTCACTTTTCTTGTTGCTGTGACAAAATACTTGACAAATCCAAATTCAGGGAGGGAAGGTTTCTTCTGGCTCATAGGCGCGGTCTGCCGTGATGGGGAAGACATGGCTGCCGGGCAGCGGGTCACATTGTACCGCATGGCACCCGGCCAGGGAGCAGAGAGCGGTGAGTACAGATGCTTAGCTCACTTCCTCCCTTTCAGTTAGCACTCTGGTGCTGTCCACATTTCAGGGTGGGTCTTCCTACCTCAACACAATCTAGAAACTTCCTCACAGACCTGCCCAGAGACTGGTCTCTTGGGTAAGTCTGGGTCCCATCAAGTTGGTGGTGTCAGCCATCACAATTTGTTCCCAGTTAAGGTGAGCAGGGACAGACACCCGGATGTCTGGTGTACTGCTCTAGACAATGCAGCTGGAGCTTCAAGCACCCAAGAGAGTGAGGACTTGAGTTGCCTCCCTTGGCTTACATTCAAGGATAAGACGGCTAGCCACATCCACGGACTGAGGCAGGCTTTGCTCACTGGTTCTGAGAGGAGGCTCTGCCTCTTTGGAGAAGGCCAAAGACTAGCCAAGTGTCCTTCACTAAATAGTGATTCCCTTGGGTATGATCTGGATGAGGTCAGCAGCAGAATGGGCTTGGGGTGGCATAAAAAAAAAGCATCACAAGTGCCTAAGAAATGTTTTTATATGGTACTGTGGCTTTGAAAGAAAATGGCCCCCAGAAAGAATGGCACTATTAGGTGTGGCTTTGTTGGAGTGTGTCACTATGGAGGTGGGCTTTGAGGTCTCCTATGCTCAAGCTTCTCCCAGTGAGATAGTCTACTTCCTGTTGCCATCTGATGAAGATGTAGCCAGCACCATGTCTGTCTGCAGGCCTCCATGCTCCCCGCATGATAATGGACTGAACCGTTGAAACTGTAAGGCAATTAAATGTTTTCCTTTATAAGAGTTGCCATGGTTATGGTATCTTGTCACAGCAAAAGAAACCCTAACTAAGACAGATGATCACACAGATAGCTAGCAATCTTTTTTTTTTTTTAAAGTTCATTCAATTCTTCTGGTCAGTCTAGTTTGGTGAAAACAACTAAGTTTAATCAAGTTCATGGTTATTTTACAACATTAAAAAAAAGAAGTAAAAGCCATGCTTGTTTTCCTCTCTCCCTCCATCCTCATCCTCTTCTCTACTCCTCTCTTCTTCTGAGTGAACAATTACTAAGACAAAATAGGTCTAAAATGTAAACAGCAGTGTGATGAGCTGTAGAAATCAGATTTTCGAGACAGGGTTTCTCTGTATTTAGAGGCTGTCCTGGAACTCACTCTGTAGACCAGGCTGGCCTTGAACTCACAGAGATCTGCCTGCCTGTGACTCCCGAGTGCTGGGATTGAAGGCGCATGCCACCAACGCCAGGCAGAAATCAGATTTCTAAGAATTATTAAATTAGGAGCCTTCTCAATGTGTTTTGTCAGTTTTTAGCCTGAAATAAAAAAGAACACAGCTGTCTTAGGAGTGGTAGTGTCCAGAGACATAGGGGAAGGGAACACATTGCTCTGCCCAGAACAACACAAAGGACAAGGGGACACAGGAACCTGAGAAAAATCAAAGGATACCTAGAGGCCACTGTAGGTAGAGATGATATGGAAATGTCTCTGCCCCAGGGGAGGCAGAGGCTGAGTGAGGAGGAAAGCCAAGAGACTCTCAGTCATCTGCAAGAAGAAACAGGAAGTGGGTTTAGGTGGCCAGTCACAGCATCAGACACAGACTAATCCAAGGATAGTTTTTATAATGGTGGGTAGCTCTGGAAGAGATTGTAGACCAGACTCTTACAGTAAATGGGGGTCTGAGAACCTCCCATAGGCTAAATCCCCAACAAAGATGAAAATTTTAAATGCACACGGTGTTCTAAAACCCTGAATCCCTCTTACCTGGAGTGTAGGAAAGGGCTTATTTTTGGGGTTTTAGAATGGCATTTTGGGTTGGTAGGTGGATGTGCACACGCCAAAGCGTGTATGTGAAGGTCACGGGACAGCATGGGGACGCCTGTCCTCCCCTTCTACCATGTGGGTCCCAGGGATCCAATCCAGGCTGTCAGGTTTTGTCAGCCAACACCTCTATCTGATGAGTCATCTGGCTGGCCCTGTAGGGTGCTTCCGATTATGACCTATGCAGAAGAGATGAAAAGAAAGGTTCATTGGTTTGTCTACATAGAATAAAACCGTGGGCTAGGAATGTGGTTGCCTAGAATGCGTGAGACCCTGGGTTCCGTAGTCAGAACCAACTGACTAAACAAATAACAAATAAACGAACAAATATAAAACCTCTCAAAGGGCCAAAATGGGTGGGGGATAAGAAAAAGTAAAGAAAATAAGGCCAAACAAATTGGAAAAAATCATATTTATTACAGGCATGGACCAAACCTTACAGAATAAACCAAATATTGCAGACAAAGACCAAATATTTTTTAAAGATTTATTTATTTATTACATATACAGTGTATATGCCAGAAGAGGACACCAGATTGAATTGTAGATGATTGTGAGCCACCATGTGGTTGCTGGGAATTGAACTCAGGACCCCTGGAAGAGCAGTCAGTGCTCCTAACCTCTGAGCCACCTCTTCAGCCCAAAGACCAAATATTTCTAATGCAGAGATTTTGTAGGAATGGAAGAGACCAAAAGACAAACTAAATAGCCAGGGAAGCACAGTGAAAAATATTCAGATGTGTGAAAATATGTTCTGCTTCATTCAAAGGAGAAACACAAACTCGAATTGCAAAATATCCCTTGTGGAACTGTAAAAGTTGGATTACATATTGTCCCACTGGGTCCTCCCTGACTGAAGGAAAACCAGTAGAAGAACAAAGAGCAAATAAAAGAAGACAGCACTCATCACAGACTTGTAGAACTCAGATGTGCCACGGAGAGAGAGACAGCCTGGGTGCGCTTCAGAACTTGGCAAGTAAGAAAATAAGGGCACCCTGTCCATCACTGGTTGGTGGCACTTGTAGGGAGTGAATTCCCAGGCAGTCCTGTCCACCCATCTCCCCTCACCTACCACACACGAACCAAGTCTGCTTCTTGTGGTCATAGGAAAGCCCTGGGCAGCCAGTCACACTCTGTTATAGCAGAGTGTGGTTGTCTAGGGCCTGGACGGGCCAAAGTCCATGTCTTTCACAAGCCCTCCCTTGATGAACTCCCAGAGACTAGACACACAGGTATTGCTGATGAAAACAGAAACTGTGCCAACACCTGAGTTAACTGTGAGTACATAGTATGTACTGGCCGTTTGAGAGCCTCACTCGGATTCTTCTCTCCTGGGGTCTATGGTTTCTGTTGCATGTAACTAAATTCAGAGTCTTTACATGCTAAGCATATATTCTATCACTGAGTTGAGTCCCCAGCCTAAACAGAAACTTTGGGAAATTCTTCACATATTTGGATACATAGGTAGATAGGTAGGTAGGCAGGTAGGGGGGTAGGGAGATAGATTAGATGGAAGGATAATGGACAGATAGATGATAGGGAGAGAGAGAGAGAGAGAGAGGAGATCAGTTGATCGATTGACTGATCAATCTTGTTTTGGGGACATGACCTGGACCTCACCAACTAGGTTAGGCTGACTGTGAGCCCCACGGATCTGCCCCAGGAATTTCCCTCTCTTCAATGATGGGATTATAAGTGTGTTTACCATGCCTGGTTTTGTTACGTGAGTTCTGGGGATTGAACCCATGTCCTCGTGCTTTCATGGCAAACACTTTACCTACTGAGTTTTCTTTCCAGCTACCATCTTCTTTTTAAAATGTGTGTGTGTGTGTCTGTGGGTATGTGTACATTAAGTGTTGTGACCGCAGAGGCCAGAAGAGGGCACTGGATGCCCTGGAGCTTGAGTTACAGGCCCCTGTGAGCCACCTGAGTGAGGCAAGTGCTAAGAACTAAACTCCAGCCCTCTGAAAGAGCTGCAGGTGCTTTTAACTGCTGAGCCAGCTCTCCAGCCCCCGGAGACAACTATTCCTAAATAAGATATTTCAGAGTCGTTTAATGTTAAAAGACACCCTTAGTCCTCATTGCTCACGTCCTTGTATGAAAAAGACACAGGATATTTACAGATACACACAAAGGACTTAAACATATCAAGAAAAATTGGTGATGCAAGACACTGTGTATGTCGTTTACATTGTGGGTGCAGGGTACAAAGGCTGAGTGGAGCAAGGAGGATCCAAAATGTGCACATAAGTATCTGGGGGTCATAGGAATGAAACATAACGGTTGTATTTATGTCTTTAATCTTAAAATGAGTTCAGCTTCATTGATATTTAGTCTAAGTATCGACAACAGTTAATTTGGTGCCATTCAAATAAATATACACCCAGGAGCTACATGTATAAGATTACTAAGCACACTGTAAAACTGAAAATACTTAGACATTTTAATGCACACTCAGGAGAAAGTGTGGCGTGACTGTCACAATCAAGCCACTACTTGAACCATCCAAGCTCTGTTAGTTTGCTTTTCCCATGTAACAAGGCACCCAGAAACAAATTGACTTACAGTAACCATCATTTCAGAAACATTGTTTCAAACCTATGCAGAGTCACCCTTTCTGAAGAGGGAGGGTTGCTGGAGCCGGGTCTGTGCTGTTACAAAGGGGACTGTGTGGCTTTGGGTTCTCAAGGAACTTACACAGTGGAAGGAGAAATGTTTACTGTGGGCAGTTCCTCTCTCTCCATAGCAGAAATGAAAGCGCTTTTGTGTTTCCCCACACAGGTTTCAGCACTAAACCACTTCCATGATTCCAGAGCCTCAGCCTGGACTGGCTTAGGCTACTGTAGAAGTCACAGGGAAAAATCCCAGCAGACATGCGCACTTTCATACCTGTCAGCTTTTCTTATGTCTCTCAAAGATTTGGCCATTTCCTTCTCCTTTAAAAAAGGAAATCGCCATGGTCTTTTTTTTTCCTTCTTTTTATCTCTCTCCCATTCCCTAATACAAATCATAGATTTGTAAATTCGAAATCCAGTAGACTGGAACAAAGAGAAAGGCTTTGATAAAAATGAAGGAAAGAATAAGGTGCATGTCTGACTATTGAACGGTAAACACTCGATACCTCCGTGTAGGAGGCGGGGTTGGCTAAGCTCAAGAATCAGAAGTAAGACAGACTTTAAAGAGATAATACACTAATGCAGTGGTGTGTGTGTGTGTGTGTGTGTGTGTGTGTTCGTGCGCACGCATGGGCAATACTGTAGTTTGAATAATTTTAAATCTTTTTTTTAAGATTTATTTATTATGTACACACTGTTCTGCCTGCACGTCAGAAGAGGGCACCAGGTCTCATCACAGATGGTTGTGAGCCATCATGTGATTGCTGGGAATTGAACTCAGGACCTCTGTAAGAGCTGTCAGTGCTCCCAACCTCCAAGCCATCTCTCCAGCCCCCAACTTTAAATCTTTTAGTGCTAAAATTTTAGCAAAAGTGTACCAGAATATTAAAATGTCTGGATTCTATGAGAAATCAATTTATTCCATTGAAGGCCTTTAATAAATGGTAAGAGTTATTCAATAGATTAAAACTTAATGAATAAAAACCTTCAAAATTTGACCATGATTTTGTAATTTTGTATGTGTGTGTGTGTGTTACTTTTTAACAAACAAAATTAAGATTGCCATGAGAACTGTAGCATTACTGGAAGAAAAATCAGAAATGACTGTTTTTTAAGCAAATTTTTTAAGCCAAGTAGTTAAAAAAAATCAATCAGTACTCTGTGTCTCCACGCCCAGGGTTATTTGTGCTGTTTAGTATAAAACAAAGCAAATGCTTGCTTGTGGCATCATGACTTCCTCCAGGCCCCTGCTGGTACTACACGGATAAAAGTGCTTTTGGAGTATGCTCCTGGTCTACCAGCAACAGCTCTCCCTGAAACACCCAGCTTGACGGCAGGTATGGGTCACATCGGTGGAGAGGGTCACCCTGTAAACATGTCTCTGCTAAGGTGGTTGAGTGTCATGTTCTTAAAAAAATGTTCCTTCAGATAAGGAACTACTCAACGCTTATTTTCTTCTCAGCTACACTTAATTTTTGTTGTTAAATTAATGGAGTTCTTAAATATGTCAGTCTGTCTTTAACTTTAAAAAAAAAGCAAACCTATTGCTGGTCCATATGTTTTCTAATGGAGATGGCATAAAACCTCCATATGTTTAAACATACCATACTCTGGACTGTGGTGCACACACACACACACACACACACACACACACACACACACCACAGAACACCATTCCACTGTAACTAAACCATTGGAGTTGGGTTGGGGAGGGTTTTTTCTTTTTTCATTAAATAATAGCCACATTTGTCAAACAGGACATTTTGTTCTGCATTTTGTTTTAGTGATGGAGATGGTCGTTGTATTTAGACTTTATATGGCCTGGGTTACCCAGCTCACAACAGAAACACCTGCACCAATTAATTTCTTGTAGCACATTAATTATCTCATAGCTTCTATTTAGGCTGCAGCTGTTGCTATTATGTTAATAATAATTTTTATCACCACTGTATACAACAGGTTATGGGAAGAATAGAAATATCTTTGGGGGGGCTTCCCCCTTGTCATTTCCATTTTTCAATGTCAGAAAGGGAAGACTGGAAGAAAATCAGGGAAATTAAGCCCCCAAAGAGCACTGTAATTTTCTATTTCTGATCGGATTTGTAAGAGAATGGCTGAGTGAAGTTAGCAGAGCATCACCCCCCCCCACACACACACACACAAAGATGGCGCGTGCAGAGTTTGTGAAAGCGGAAGAAAGGGAGAGGAAGGACAAGCAGGAGAAGACGGAACTCTGCAGTGCAGGGGTGGTGAGTGTTTGCCGGGGGCGGGGAAGATGCTGCAGTTTTCATGCAATAATAAGGTGGGAGAGAAGCAATACAAAGAGTGGGTTTCTCATTGTTTGTAAAATATAAACACAGATGAGTTCTGTCTGTGGTTGGTTCATGCCTTTCATTCAGCACAGCGGGGATGTTCTTAAGAAGTTGCCCTCTGCGAAATTTCACTAAATGGGAACCGTGGACCCTGCATGATGGGATTATAATCACACCAGCCACTCCTTTTACATAATTTTTTTGTTTAAGATCCAGTAAGACCCCCTGTTTTTAATATATATAAAGCAATCGACACGTATATGTCGATAAATTGAGGGTTCGCGTTACCCCCCCACCATAGCCCAGTGCAAGCTAAACAAAAACCAGTGTGCTACCCCCTCCTATAGATCTCAATGGGTTCAAAAACAATATGAAATTTTTTAGCTGACAAGAACATGTCTGCTGCCTGCAGTCCCTGCAATAGCTCACCATGTTGCCTACTAACCGAAAGATCAAAAATTATCGATTTCATGGCGCTGCATGCCCTGGAAAAGAAAAGCTACTTTAAAATTTGCATTGTTTAAGACATCATTTAGAAGAATAACCCCCCCATACACACACACACACACAACACACCCCAAACACTTTGGGATGTGAAAATGACTCGTTTTCATCTCCTTCATGATTTGCTATAATTCTATTATTTTTAGCAGCTGGAGTCCAGAAATGATTTTTTCCCCGACAAATTTAGGATTTTGCCGCAGTGTACATCTGCATTCCCAGAATCCTCCGGTAAGTTAATCCTTCTTTCGATGGGAAACGCCTTTAACCTTCTTGTGAATGAAATACCTGCAACCATTTTGAAAAATTTAACAGAGGGACTGTGTGTGTGTGTGTGTGTGTGAGAGAGAGTGTATGCGTATGTGTCTGCGTTTCTTTGCACGAGTGTGGGCAGTGGGGGTAGGTGTGTCAAAGCATGCTTTCTTAGTATTGCAACTATGTCTGTTCGCTCTGAGAAATGCTAAGAGACATCGACCTCCGCATCCTTGGCTTGTCACCATGGGTCCCCATTGCTTCCTACGGTAGCCATTGAGAAACACTTCCCTAGGACGGTAAAACCAAAGGCCCGGAGAACACGCACCTTCAAGCGTGATGGAGGATGGTGCCAGCGTGACTGAAGGAGCAGGCCATCTCCATGGCCATCACTGCCTGCCACCTTCGTCTTCCCTCCTTTGCTCTGTAGCTGTACGTGCGCTGTGAGCTCTGCCGGGTGGGTCTCTGCGGAATCCGCCCAGTGGGTCCCTAGACGGTGTCAGTATGAGGGAATAAGCAGACACGTAGTCTGACAAGAGGTATTTACAACTGCTTAGCCTGTTCAGCTGGAAATTAACAAAAAAGATGACACAACCCCAACACGATGTTTTACAAATCAAAAGTCTGGATCCATAAATAGCCCACTTGACAAACGCAGGACAAAAAGCCGATTGTGATATCTTTGCCTGGCAGTTTCCCCGTTATCATAAAGAAATTGTTTTTAATAGGTCTTCTTAGAGAATCAGTGTCGGCAGTTTCTGAGTGCAGGGAATATTGCTACATTTCTGCTGGGAAAGGATCCTTCCTTCCCAGGGGAATCGGGATGGAATCCAGTGTGGACCACACCCTAATTTTAGTTTGTTTTCCCATCATTTCTGCCTATTGTCAAGTAGCGTTGACTCACAACTACAGTTTTACTTTAAATGAAGGCATTCATCAAAAGCAGTGATCATCGGCTGTCCTCTGAAGCGAGCTCATTGTTCTAGGTGTGTAGTAAACGGTTAAGTAACGGATCTGATAGAGCTACGTATCCAAAAGGCAGAAGGACCAATGTCGGCTCTGTGTGTGTGTGCGTGTGTGTGTGTGTGTGTGTGTGTGTGTGTGTGTGTGTGTGTGTGCTCTAGGCTCATGTTCTGTGTAGCCAAAGCTTGATCTGCAGGACAATCGATCCTGAGTGTGTTAGTGTGTTAAACCAGCTGGAGATAGGTGTCTGCCCCTATTTCTTGAAATGAATTTCTGTCAAACCCATTGGGCTGACTCTTGGGGGAAAGGGTGTAAGAGAGAAACCAGCTGTTTTTGTGAAATGTGTTACTCAGGGTCAACTGGCTTAGCAATTAATTTTATAAAACCACTTCACTTCTTAGCTACTTACGTTATTTTCAAATTAGCTCACAGGGGAGCACATTTCTTTATTCACTAGGTGTTTTGATGACGTGTTTCTTTCTGGTGTAATGACAGTATTTGTCTTAATTTCACAGAAGTTACTCATCTTTTTTTTTGGTACAAAATATGGAACGGTTTTGTTTTATTCGAAGTGAACAAAAATCCTGAGATAATTGAAAACCAGCTAACGGGTCTTAAGGCTAGTCAGTAAGCTGGCTATTTCTCTAGCAGAATTATTCTGGATAAGACAGGCAGTGCCCCCCCCCCCCCATTGCCTGGTACTCCACCTTCTCTCTGAAGCATGCTTCATGTGAATTATCCAGAGGAGCTGAGACTTAATTCTAAGCTGGGACTAAAAGACTCCAATTTTATGCTTTATGTTAGCATCTGGCTAGAGAGAAAGACAAACATAAGGGTGTCTTTATCTTTTGGATCTTCCAATGGTGCAGATAGTTCTTAACCAGTTTTAATAGTGTGACTTTTCTTTTCTTCTTCTTTTTTTCTTGTAATAGTAAAAATGGAACACAGAAAAAAGCAAGTGTCTAAAAAGAAGGAAAGTGGAAAATCCTCTGACAATGGTGAAGTCAGCCATCTAGTTTTAAAAGCAGACTTTAATCGAGTCGACCAAATACTTTAACTCTGCCTCTGAGAATTAAAATTAGGGTTGGTAGCTGTAGCCAGCACCGGTACTCTGATAAAATACCTTTTCGGGCCCCATCTCTCTGAGTTACGGCAGGCCTAGCCTGCAGCGGCGTTTACTCTCGGGAAACCCTGGCAGAGATGCAGAGGGAAAGGTCTGGACAATGGTCCTCACAGAGCTACGACGATATATCTTTAAGATAGAAAAACCGAGTCACTTAAAAAAATGAGCTGGCCCTACAGCATTAGCCCTGGCTCCGGGGCTGGACAGGCTTCCTGCCAGTACCTGTACATAAGGGCCTATTGTTTACTTGCGTTAATTACAGGGCTGGGATGAAAGAAGGCAGGAGGGCGACTTTCACTGTTGCCATTGTTTGGGAAGAGACGTAAGCACACAATAATAGACTTGGAGACGGCCAACCCACCCCAACTGCTCCAGTTATGACCAGCGCCAGCCGCGCAGGGCAACAATGGGGCCATTTCCAAGAGATGACCCAACTTCAGCCTATTGTAATGACTCAGACTAAATGCTCTCGAAGGATGCAAAATTAGTTTGGAAAAATTCGGAGTTGTCCGTGGGTCCTATTAGCAACACACCCGAGTTTCTCAAACAATACAATAAAATTGTAGTCCTCGGGAAAAGTCCCCCCTGCCCAGCGGCTCCAAGTGAGACGGGATTTCTAGGAATCAGGCTGGTGGGGAGGGGAGGTGGCTGAGCCCCGGAATCCCTGTTGGGGTTCAGGAGGCGCAGCAGGAAATGGGAGCGGACGCTCCTACAGACAGCGAACTGTGGTGGGGTCGAGTCGCAGCTCAGGGACGTAGCGGTGTCCGGAACGCCGGGCGAGAGCCTAGCTCGGGTCTCGAACTCGCGTCCTCCGGGGACCACGCTCCACCCGGCCCGTATCGGCGGCCCGCGTCCCTCCCTTCAGCTTCCACTGGAGCGGCGTCCGGACGCCACGCCCCGGCTCGGCCCCTCCCGGCGGCGCATGCGCGGAACGGCCCGGGCCGGCGAGAACTACTTTCCGCGCCCCGCCCGCGCCCCGCCCCTCGTCCTCGCGCGGCGGAACGCTCCGCGCCGGGCGGCGGCGGAGGGACACACGGTACCGCGCCGCTTATAAAGCGCTCCTTGTGCGGCGCCATCTTAAGCCCTCGCTCGGTGGCGGCCGCGTCAGCTCGTGTCCTGCGCGCAGCCCGCGGCCCGGGGAGGCGGAGACGGAGCACGGTGGGCGCTGAGCCGTCAGCTCAGGAGGCCGAGGGCGAGCGGACGGCCGTAAAGGAGCAGCGCGCGGCCCCGAGGTGCGGCGCTGCGGCGGGCCGGCTCCAGCCGCGCCAGCGGGAAACTTCTCGGGCCGGGTGGCGGCGGGAGGCCGCGGGGGGCGCGCGGGCCGGGGCCGGGGCCCGGGCCGGGGGAGCGGGCAGGCGGGAGGGCGGGCGCGCTCCGGGAGCCCGGATGGACGGCTGGCCGCCGTGGGGGTGGGGACCGCGGTTCGCGTCCCGGCTGGGGCTGCAGCGGGGGCGGGGTGGGCGGGGGCTCCGCCTCCGTGGCCCGCGGAGACGGGGGTGCGGGCGCCCCCGCGCACAGGGGACGCCGGACCGGCGCGCGTCGCCTGCTTCCGTCGTGGGGGACGTATAGATCTCTCTCCCCCCTTTTTTTTCTTCCCTTGCAACGACCTGACTGTGTGAGTTTGAATCCAAACAACTTTAAGCCGCGGAGTCGCCAAACTCTTGGGTGCAGCGGGCGGGATGCGTCAGGAGCGTGTCCTCGGAGGGTGGCAGCGGGGGCCGAGCCTCTAGCCGGAGTCTGGGGTCGTGGGCGAGCCACGGCCACTCCTGGGCGTGCGTGTGTGGGTGTGGGGGGTGCGCAGGATTCGGAAGCCTGGGCTAGGGGGAGGGGGGTTCGTCCTCAGCCGCTAAGGCGAGCCACTTAGTGTGGGGTCCGCACGGAGTGTGTTTTTCCTCCGCGCCCTTGCTCTCGGGGCGAGGGAGAGAGAGAGTGGCCCGGGCGGCGAGCGCGGCGACTTGTTCCGAGTGTTGTGTTTGGGGAGCGGACTGAAGTTCGGGGCCCCGGGCCCGCGCCGCCGGGCTGCGGGGCAGCTTTGTCTCCGGGCTCGGGTCTCCAGACATCTGTGGGCTCCCCTCCCCCCCGGGCCTGAGCGCTGAATGGAGAGTGGCTGGGCTGCTGGTATGCGGAGGTCGGCGAGAGGAAATCGAGGAGTGGTTTTAGTGAAACGAGAGCTTTGTGCCGTGAATAATGGTGGCTTAGACCAGACGGCAGGCTGGGGAGACGGCAGCTCTGCCTTTGATAAAGTCTGCCTCGTGTTTTTCACATGGCCAAGTTGTGCAGCGTTTTGTCTGGGGTTTAGGAAGCCATGTCGCCATTTACTTGTGGCTTGCAGACGTCTCGGTCGGTGCAGGCTCTCCTCGTCCCGGGAAAGGGAATACAGCTTGCTCTGTTGGTCTCTAATTTAATGTTGCTTAAGCTTGTGGCTTTTTGTATCTCGATGCGTTGTGCCCAAACTTCATTTGAATTGAGGCCGCTGTTACATTTAGTTCACTTTTACCTTTAAATATTCAGAAATTAAAAAGAAGTACCTCCAAGGTTTGAGAACCCCCTTCGTAGCAGATGACCGTGCTGGGGATGGTCGTTCTACGACCTGACCTTTGTCCTGAAGGCCGAGTCTGGACACGGGGAGGCAGGGGAGTTGGAAACTTGCAGACCTACAAGTAGCTAGCACCAGACCTTCCCAGACAGAAGTCCTTGAGGAAGCAGGGAGCCTGCAAAGCTGAGCTTGCCTGGGACAGACCTCAGTCGCAGGAGGGTCAGCCTCACATAGGGAAGCGTGCAGTCGTGCACACAGGTGTCCAGAAATACTGTCTCTAGAATTGTCTAGAGCAACGGCTCTCAACCTTCCTAATTCTTCGACCCTTTAACACAGTTCCTTGTTTTGTGGTGACCACCAAAAGTGTAATTACTTTCGTTGCTGTTTCATAACTCTTAATTTTGCTCCTGCTATGAATCATAATGTAAATAAATATCTTTGCTGATGGTCTTAGGCGTTCCCTGTGAAAGGGTCGTTCGACCTCCAGGTCCACTGGTCTGGAGAATGTGTATTTGGGTATTAAATGTCTCCTGGGGCGTATCTACTTCTGTAGTGATGATAGGGATAGGAATTGTTGGGAATGAAGCTTTAGCACCGGTTTCAGAATGCCACGGCCAAGCTGGGGGACGAGTGTGCTCAGTACTGGCGGAGCCCGCAGGGCAGAGACCAGGCAGGGCCTGCCCACAGGGTGGGGGGTTTGGATCCTTATCTCTGCTAAGTGGTGAAGTGGGCCGTGCCAGCACATGAGTCAGATGAAGGCTCCGTGTTGAGGTGAGGCAATGGTCTGGACCCCATCACCTGGGTGTGAGGTGGTAAATTTTTAGTGTGTCTTGGACTCTACCTGTGGGACACACTTCTGATAAACAGTGTTTGCAGTTTGTAGAAAACACTACAAATGTTAACGTTTTTGTGCGGTGTCAGGCCTGTGGAGGCGGCAGAGGGTGTGACCCATAGATCACTAGCAGTGTGAAATGAGTGCTGACTTGTGGTTTCACAAAAAGAGAAGTGATGTGTGGATCGGAAGTGGACCAGGTCCTTATTTCCTTGTTTACCTAAGAAACTTTCCCCGTGCATAAGGCTGAGTGCCACTTGGCTGGGAACCTAGATTCACCTGCTGTGTTGAACTCCCGGGAGAATGCATATAGTCTTCTTCGGGGAGAAAAACCTTTGGAAGAGGATGTAGGCTGTCCAAGGGCTTGGGCACGTTTTTTGGACTGAGTTGTGGTGTCTCTTAAGACATTTCTCCCTTTCAGCTGAGGCCGCATGCTGTTGAGCGCCCTCCGGTGGACAGAAGGCAGGTCACTTTCCTCTCACTCCAGCGACTTGTGTGGAGTGTGTCCTGGGTGGTTGTGTGGGGGGAACCAGCTGTGC